TGGATCGAGTTTTCCTGAATCCGCACTGGAGACCGCTCAGCGAGCCCGTCGTTTCCAGAAACCACATGAGTCGCCTGTGAATCATTTTTTCAATTAGTTTGCAGAGACAGCTCGTTAGTGCTATTGGTCTGTAATTGGATGCATGTGTGTGGTCCTTGTTTGGTTTGGGTATTGGAATGACAGTGGCGAGACGCCAAGACTCCCGTCTAAGAGAAAAACCTGGGCCAAAGAGGTGTGTTGGCGAGGGACAGTCCGTGGACTGATCTCACCTCAACCGCCAGGTACCCGGTTTCCCTCCGCACGGGTCACACCTCACGGTCAACGAGGCGCCCACTCTGTGGGATGGGTGACCTCTCGTTTTGCTGCACATGAGGTCAGCGGTGGTAGGAAAGATAGAAGAAGAAAGAAAGAAGGAAGGAGAAGAGGAGGATACACCAAAGTAAGTGTCGCACACGGATCCCAGAGGGTTGGGGTCCGTGTGCGACACTCCGCCTTTAAGGGGGTTGCACCTTCTGCAGACGAAGCAGTGGGTCTATTTATATCCCCCGACCCACTGGGGGTGTGGACAATTAGGGAGAAAGTATCACTTTAAACATATCTAAATGATATCAAACATGATTTTATTAGGCACAGAGTTTTCATTTCAAAGAAAGCACCGTAGAGAAGACAGTAAGATAAATCAGGTGGTCGTCAGAGAGCTTATGACTGAAGAGCTATTTGATGCATGTGGTACTTCTTGTACAAATTACAAGGCTGAGGCCATCGTCATTGAGGCAGCAATCCTCCACCTGACCAACATTTTCATAATACATCCAAACAAAATCAAGAACACTATTATCTTCACAGACGGAAAGTCAGTACTCCAAGCTTTGGAAAACTTGAATTTCGAAAGCACAGCCTGCCTATTTGTGGCTCAAACAATCAACACCTTCCTACAGACCTATGCCGTCGACCTGACACTACAGTGGATACCTGGCCACAGCAACATCCCAGGAAACGACAGAGCAGACACTTTTGCCAAGAAGGGAGCATCACAAACACAACCACACAACCCAGTATCACAACAGACAGCCAAGAACATCATCAAATGCAACACCTGGGAACAATGGCTGAATGGATGGGCAATGGGCAAAACTGGAAGAACTGTATTCACATGACAGCCCCTAACTCTAAAGATGCAATAAATTCCCTAAGTAGAAGAGAACAAGTCACGACCTTTCGCCTACGAACACAACACATACCACTAAATTCCTACTTTAATAGGATCCGCAAGGATACCCCACACGACTGCCCGCCGTGCGACAGCCAGGATGAAACAGTACCACACCACCTCTTTAACTGCCCAGCACTTTGTGACCTGCGTAGCACCTACCTACCTGCCTCCTCAAACATCGGAAATACTCTATACAGCGACAAAGCACAGCTGATTAAAACCTGCAAATTCTTTGCCATATCGACAGATCGGAGGGCTAGAACCCAAATGGCCACTGGATCGGAAAAGTACAAGTAAAAGTCAAGCTTATGACACAGAACTCGCATAGGCCACAAACACACATAATAGTTCCATCATAGACTCATGATGGCTTTCAACACCCAAGGAGAAAGGAAAGTTAAAGGCTTTGCTACATACCAGCATGGTAAAGAGAGAAGAGTTCAGGAAATAATAGCGAGCGACTTGTACTGAACACAAACGCCACAACTCGCCAAAAAAGCGTCTTTCCCTTTCCTAAAGTGGTGAATCTATCTGCCAAAACAGAAGGTTAGTTGGTTTAACTTTCTTACGGCTTCGCTTGTGACTTTCAAGCGCTTTTCTTTTTTAAAATATTTTTTTTACAAACAGAACACTTTATGTCTGCAGCAGTTTCAATGTCAATGTCAGGATTTGGGTGTCTTGGTTCTCTTGCTTCTCTGACTGCTTCTGCTTTATAAATTGCGTTGCCTAACCAGAACACATGATAGACATGCACAAACGTACAAACATTCTCAACCATTACTCTCTGGCAGGGGGGTGGGTCCTTTTGGACCAGTTAAGGATGGGGTTCTTTTTGGACCAGTTGTGTCCGCCGATTTCTTGCTTTAATTTTGGCATCAATTTTTTGGTGTAGCATCTTCCGTTCGTCAAATGCACACAGGTTGTGTTTTTTTAATAGATAAAATTTGCGATTCTAAAGTCTTTCTTTGCATTTGTGGCTCCCTGCTCACCGCAAGGAGGTGGAAGCAAGATACGCCAACGTGTACGATTACTCACTTGTGTTAATTTTTTTCTTTTGCTAGTCCGTATTACAAATGCACCAATTTGAAACATCCCTGAAGGCATATATAGTGCGTAAATATGTACCCCCCCCCCCCCTTGCAATTAAAAATGCCTGTCTTAGGACAGTTCAAAGGCAGCTTCTTAATGCGTAAAACAAGCAAAATGAATCATCCTCAAAATGAGGTGTTTTCGGAGGAACTGAACTTTTCATTGATCAACTTGCATTCGATGATGCAAATAACTATAATTGTTCTTGCATCCAATTATTACCTGGCGAAAAAAATTACTTGTTCTACTGGTCCAAAAAGGGATCTGGCATTACGCAAACTGGTCCAAAAGGAATTGACCCGTGGCAGAACAGACCACTCACACTTAGGTACCGTATCTCAGGTTGGGAGGGGGGAGAAGGAGGGAGGCGTTATGGGTTAAGTCGGTCAGCACGGAGTTTCTTTAAGATTTCGTCTCAATCAAACCATACCCACATCAGCCAGTAAAACGCTATCTCCTTCCCCGTTCTACATATATGGGTCAAGACATTCCCTTAAATTACGAAACAATAAATTAAAAAAATTACGTTGTCGATTATTGGACTTTTCAAAACACCAAAACGTTATACCTTTAGAAAAAGTCCGTCTAGATCTAAGCCTTAGTCCATTCCTTCACACAAATTATCATTGTCATCATTTGAGCCGAATGGGTCTCAAGGAGTGGGCAAAGCCCCCTGAACTGTACCAGAACCGTAATTCTAAAACCATCTCATCATCTTCTTCAAGCACAATACGTTCTTCAAAACTATGTATGTTTTGAACTTCTTTGAGACAATCGGGACAGAACTGTTATTGTCTGGGCTGCAATGAAACTATAAGACATTTTTAAAGCTGCCCTTGTTCTATCCATATAATAAAAAGCTTCCGACTACGATATAGGTCTTTCCAGAACATAAGACAAGGGGCCATTTCATCTCTCGAGCATGTCGGTGAATGTATAGAAATGAAATTGAGGCAACAACGCATCAATAAGAAGCACATTATACAGTTAAATAGTACCAAGTTGCGAAGAAGATACCTGTCGCCTCGCCACATGATACGTGCGACAAAGTACCATGGTGAGTTTTAAAAATGTCAAAATATCCTTGGGATCATTCAGGCGCCTAATGAAAAATCTTGCCGACTGATCCCATATTCTTAAGCCTGAAGTCACTTACCTTCACAAGTATGGTTGTCTTGGCTCAGCTTTTTACCCCTTGGGCAGTAACAACGGTTTTGGTTGTCAATAAACACACATGTCCCACTGCAGTTGTGACCTGGCGAACATTGCGTCTTTCCTGTTGGTAGATAGATAGATAGATAGATAGATAGATAGACAGATAGACAGACAGACAGACAGACAGACAGACAGACAGACAGACAGACAGACAGACAGATAGATAGATAGATAGATAGATAGATAGATAGATAGATAGATAGGATGCATCAGTCTTTGTAGAAACTGTGTTGAAAAGCAGTTGAAAAAGGCGCTACCTTATATGTAACTTTTATTCAGATTTACATAAAACTATCTATTGGCCATTTTTTCCTCCATTTTGGACATCCCTTGTATTAATAATATTATCATTTGACTTAAATCTATAGACTGCCCTCTTAAAACCAATCATTCAGGATTAGGCTACCAGATGACCGTATTAAATAATTTGAGAGGTGACAGCAAAAGTACATAAATTATGTGTATGTGTGTGTGTGTGTGTGTGTGTGCACGCCGGCTTGTGTGTATGTGTGTGTTTGTGTGCGTGCACGGGCTTGTGTGTATGTGTGTGTTTGTGTGTGTTTGTGTGTGTGTGTGTGTGTGTGTGTGTGTTTGTGTGTGTGTGTGTGTGTGTGTGTGTGTGTGTGTGTGTGTGTGTGTGTGTGAGTGTGTGTGTGTGTGAGTGTGTGTGTGAGTATGTGTGTGTGATATAATATACAGGCGAAATTTTCTGACACAGCACTCCACTTTCGATGAGAATAGTGGCTATGTGTGTATGTGTGCGTGTTTGTGTGTGTTTATTCTGGGAGTATTCGTGTTTCCATGTGTGTGTGTGTATGGGCGTGTATGTGAGTGCAAGAGTGTTCCCGTCTGTACACCAATAACATGTAACAGAAAAGTGCCCATACATTCCTCTCTGAGCCTAACACACGAACCACATACAAGTGATCTCGCAAGTCATCACCTATACAGGAGAAGGCATCAGAGTCCAGTCGAAAGCCAGGCTCACAGGAGCAGCGAAATCCCCCGAGCGTGTTCACACAGTTCTGGTCGCAGCGTCGCACCTTAGAGGAGCATTCGTCAATATCTGAAATCACACAGTGGAATAACACGGTGAAGTGACACAGTGAAATGATACGTAGAAAGGATACTGTGGAAAGACAGCACAGTTAAGTGACACAATGGAATGACATATGGAAAGGATAAAGTGGAATGACACCGTGGGATGTAAGTACAGTAAAGAGACACAGTGGAATGACAGAACAGAGGAATGACAGAACAGAGGAATGACAGCTCAGTGGAATGGCAGAACAGTACCATGACACAGTGGGATGACAGCTCAATGGAATGAAAGCTCAATGGAACGAAAGCTCAGTGGAATGACACATAGGGATGACAGCTCAATAGAGTAACAGCACAGTGGAATGGCAGCTCGGCGGCATGACGTTGAAGGGGAATTTGTGGTGGACAAGTCGGTGGAAATGGGAAGACAAAAGGGGTTCGGTTCCATACAAATGTGGAATAGCCTTCCGTCTCCTTAGAGCCCAGTTAAAAGAATACAGACAAAGAGAAATTGAAGATTCTTTGACTTTATTTCGTAAGCGTTTTACGGCACTTGCAACATAATTAGGTCATATAAGTGTCAAAGATAAGATGTGTTATAAAAGTGCAACAAACACAGAAAAGAAGGCGGAGAGGCGGACAATAGATGTTTAACAGGAAAGAAACAGCCAACCACCAACTGAGATGGCTTTGAGCCTAATACACACCAAGGCACAGACGGAGATTAGAGTTGTAGAGGAATCCCTTGAAGCAGGAGCAGCTATAGTTTCCCTCGACGTTGTTGCACACCTGGTCACAGTCGTTTGTTAGACGGCTGTTACATTCATCAATGTCTGTGGATGGCGAGCACATAACACAGTTGTGAGAAAGTGGAGAATACATTACACAGTTGTGTGTGAGTGGGCATTATACAGTTGCGTGTGAGTGGTCATTATACAGTTGCATGTGAGTTGTCATTGTACTGTTGTGTGTGAGTGGGGATGACATTACAAAGTTGTGTGTGAGTGGGGATGACATTACACATTGCATAGTGGTGTGTGAGTGGACATTATACAGTTGTGAGTGGGGAGGACATTACACAGTTGTAGGTGAATGGACATTATACAGTTGTGTGTGAGTGGACATTATACAGTTGTGTGTGAGTGGACATTATACAGTTGTGTGTGAGTGGACATTATACAGTTGTGTGTGAGTGGACATTATACAGTTGCGTGTGAGTGGACATTATACAGTTGTGTGAGTGGGGAGGACAAACAGTTGTGTGTGAGTGGACATTACACGGTTGTGTGTGAGTGGGGATGGCATTACACAGTTGTGTGTGAGTGGGGATGGCATTACACAGTTGTGTGTGAGTGGGAATGGCATTACACAGTTGTGTGTGAGTGGGGATGGCATTACACAGTTGTGTGAGAGTGGACATTATACAGTTGTGGGCGAGCGGGGAGCACTTTATACAGTTGTGTGTGAGTGGACATTACACAGTTGTGAGTGAGTGGGGAGCACATTACACAGCTGTGAGTGAGTGGGGAGGACATTACAAAGTTGTGTGTGAGCGGGGAGCATCTTACAGTGGTTACATTCGTCAATATATGTAGATGGGGAGCACGTTACACGGTCATATGAGAGTGGAGAGCACTTTACACAGTTGTATGTGAAAGTATTGCTACATTTGTCAGTGTCTATTGGGGTGGGGGCACGTTACACAGCTGTGTGTGAAAGAGTTGCTACATTCTTCATATGTGTGAAAGAGTTATCACATTCATCAATATGTGTGAAAAAGCTGTTACATTCGTCTATGAGTGTGAAAGAGTTACTACATTGATTCGACAATGTCTATGGGGAGCACGTTACATATTTATATAGGAGAGTGTTGCTACGTGCGTTAGTGTGTGGTTGAGACTTGTTTGTGGGTGGGCAACACAAAACAGTTGTGCGCGAGAGGGTTGTTACATTAATGGTCATATAAGTGAGAAAGTTTTACAGTCATAGATGTCTGTGGATAGCACATTACACAGTTATGTGTGTGAGAGAGTCGTTACATTCGTCGATGCACATGGAAATGTATTATACTCTTGTTTTTTTGCGTAATGTATGTGCTTTTAAAGCCAATACATCCTTTAGAAAACTTCGAGAAAGGGTTTGGGACTAAGTTGAAACGCTAAAATGATGTTGTCCTCTCAAACTTTGTGTACAATTCTGAGAGCTAGACAGTGTACCAAAACCATGCCAAGAAACTTATTTCAAGAGCCTGTTTGGCTAGAAATGACTCATCGTCACTGGACCGTGTCGTCAGAATGATTGATTTCAGAACGCCGAAGTGTATTTTTTTCTGAGCTGCCCTCTGGTAAGTAGTTAGCCTAAAGTTTGGGCGCCAAAATGGTCTACAAAGACACCCTGAAAATAATAAAATCTCTGAAGAACTTCAACAATAAACCCTTGACATGGGACAGCCTGGTTTAACAGACAAGGTGGGAGAATAACTATCACAAAGGGCAGTAAATCTTATTATGAGGCTTCCCGAATGAGAAATCCTGACGCCAAAAGAAAAACCTGCAAACAGCGCACATCCACTAAATGTGGCAAACTGTTTTCAGCCAATATTGGTCTCGTTGGCCATAGCAGCCGCCACAAGTCATCTATTTTGCTTTTTAAAAAAAGCAAGACACACAGGGCCCTGAGACAGGAAACGTGGCCAACCCTACTGACACTAGACGAGAAGCTATACGGGCCAACCGATGAACTTAGCAGGACGGCCCAATTTATGACAGATACCAGACTTCAAGTGTGATGCGATCGAGAAAAAGAAGAAGTAGCTAAAAAAAAAAAAGAAAAACCAAATACGTATACTATAATCCCCCGCGCAGATGCACTGGTGGTAGCCAGACATTGACAAACAAACTATGATCAATATGTGCATGGCACGAGTCTGGTAACTCTTGTTGGGTATCGGGATGATATAACAGCACAGTGATTGGCATGTGCTTCACCACACTACAACTTATTTGTTAATGTCTGTCAGGATTCCATAACATGGTCGTTTGTAGTACACGAACAACCACATTCATGTTGTTGTTGTTGTTGTTGTTGTTGTTAGCGATTCAGTAGCATCTGAGCGTTAACTCTTCTGCATGATGCCATTCGGTAATAGCTGCATGTCTGTTCTAATTTGTTAAACCCAAAACCGGGGGTCAACAGAATGCTAAATTTGAAGCGCTCATAGGCGTGTCACTGAGACCCCCCCCC